CGATAAAAAGAATAAAATAACTTTAAATAAAACAATTTTTTTACAAATTTAATGAAAAATAAATCGAGACGATTAACTTATAAATTCACAAATGACTTAAGTTGTACTAATTATTTATAATTTTAATTTAGCCGAGAAATTTTTAATCTGAAAATAATTTATAACCTCAAAAATTAATTTGAGAATGAAACACAACAAATTATTTGTAATCTTAATTTAATCGACTTCTGAAATTAATTTTGTGACAGTGCTACTTGTAAGCGTGTTTCCCCATCTTTGGTTTAATCTTGCCTCTTCGGATCACTGTACTAACACTGCAAGAGGAGAAAGTGATGCTCCTCTAGTCCGTGCAGTTCCTCATTCTGTTCATAGATTCTATTAAGTATATCGTCTTTGTCGACACTTTTCGGAACGTTGAGAAAAATTAACCTCTGCATTCTTCCTGCCGACACTCTACATCTTACTTTATATTTAATCTCTGGAATGTCGCGAACAGCTGTTAAAAGTGCCTCTCTTTCTTCCTGACTCCCCACTCTAACACAGAGGCTATCATTCTTGATATCAAATACGGCCTTTACTGAAACGTTCAGTTTGGGCAGCTGGGCTTTGTTCATTACGGTTGATTTTACTTCCTTCATATTAATTTGTTCATCTTCATTGTTTGCCTCTGGATAAATAATAAGAGCATGGCCACCACCTGGGCCCTCTGTGTTGACTTTTCTTGTAAGTGATCTATTTATAGTTCTAGTAGCAGTGCTAGACCTTGCTGCCATTTTTGTGATATCTGCATACCACGGGCGTTGGACTTGTATAGGAGGACTACTGTCCATTTTTTTATTCCTAAGTTTACGAATGATTCCCAATGCCTAGTTAAGGAATGCGAAAAGAAGACTGGCGTTATCCCTTATCTGCATTCTTTCAGACGTATTAATAATTTGGCAGATCCTGGGCATAATTCCATAATTCTCCCTAATTGTGTGCTCGCCTCTTTAAGTATCGTGTCCTCTAAGGCAGCGGTCCCCAACCTTTTTATCGCCAACATTTGCTATTTTACCGCGGCCCACTGAGGGGGGATGTTGATTGTTTATATTTTAGATTGATTTAATTTAATAATTTTAATTTAATTGTATTTAAACAGGCCTTTAAAATAAAATACAGTTACACCAAAAAAATGAATATAATGTGATTTAACATTTTAACTCACTGGAACGCTAAATCAATGAGAACTCTGAGCTTGTTTTTTTGCCACAAGACGGTTCCATCTGGGGGTAATAGGAGAAAATGACACCCGAAGTGTGTTTCTTATGTCCAGTTTATTCCGTTGTTCCGTCGTTTATTAAAAGTCGCACAAACTTGAGAGAAATACACCATAGTAAATAAAATGGAAATACCAGTAATTTAATGTTCCTTGGGCGGCCCGGTACCTCTCTCTTTGGCCGAAAGCTCAAAGAAAATTGGTGAATAAAAGTGTACAGAACATAACTAAGGCCATTATCCTCCAGACAAAAGAAGCAGTAGACAACACCGTAAAAACGGACAACCTAGCCATAAGATAAATGAACGCTACTTGGCTACACAACAAGAAAAAAGCCATCAAACCCGCTATACGACCGATGGTTCGCTTTGCGACCCGAACAAAAACCGAAATAGGGTTGTTTGGAGTAGCGTATAACGGTAGAGGTCAATGACCTACAAGGTGCTTCCCGACTAAAAACGCCATAAAACCAAAACTATTAAAATTAGAATCACGAAAATTGGAACATTTATAGAAAATTGATTAATAAATAGGCCATCCAACCGGCAGCCCGCGGTACCTAACGAGAAGCCCGACGGAGGCCCGCGAAACGCACAGACGTTGACCGCCATAAGTTACCGAAAAAAAGGGGGCTAGGTAAAGAATTTCAACGAAATCAAACCAAGTTTACCGACCAAAAATCAGCAGACAAGCTCCGAATTGTTAAACTAAACGGAAATACTAAAAGACTAATAAAAAATTCGAATTTAACGGCCATTCATCCGCGGCACGAAAACGACCGTAACTGCCGAAAAAAGGGGTCGATCTTAACGAAATACACGTTAAAGGAAACAGGAACCTTTCAGCAATAGAATACAAAACAGTAAGCTTACGTACTTTAAAGTAAACCCTTCGATTCAAAGAGTCGATGTGTCACACGTCCATTAGCCATTAATTCTCCAATACAAAAAGACAAGAGTTGACTAACGATTTTGACAAATCATGTTTTAAATGTTATCATCTTTATTAAAGTATTATATTCCTACTTCGAAATACTTAAATAATTTATTTTAACCTAATTCATACTAAATAATTCATATAATCGCTCCAGTGTGGACGTGGCGTAGAACACTTCTCCTAGATGTTTCGAGTTTTCCAATGTTTAAATACGAAGCCAAAGCAGCAACCTAAATAGGAATAACGTTAACATTTTTATTAATTTTGCATAAATATTTTATATTCATACTTAAAAACTTGTGTAAATTTATTGTTTGTGCCATAAATATTCAAATTTATTGGAGTATTTATTAAATTTTCATACGAAACAAATTGCGATACATTCAATTAATATGTAAATGTGTATTAAAACACCGGAATTTTTACAGAAATTTCTAGTCTTATTTTTACCTTTTCATTTAAACGATTTAATTGTGAAATTTAAAAACACGATGGCGAAAAATTATGCAAATTACAATCGAATATAAGTGAGAGTTTCATATTTTCTTCCTTTTCTTTGGTAACTTCACCTGTCGAGTGTTGTAAATCTCTTATAACAATTGAGAATATCTCATTGTATCTTAATGCAATCGGAAAACGTCTACGAAGAAATGAGACCAGCTCACAGAAGAGGGATTCAGTTTATCGATAATCAGTGTTGCACCACGGCTGATGATAATAGGAATTTGGAAATGTCAGGTGGAAGAAACTTTTTGAATTTTATGAAAAACTATTCGAGTCCTTATCACTTAGCCTTCATTTACTTTCCTCTTTCCTTTATTTTCTTGGTGACGTCTTCCTATTTGCTTTCTCCTTTATACGATCCTGGAAATAAAAAACGTGATTTGGCTACTTTCTTGTCCGTCATGTTTTCGGTTCTTGCCGTCACGTTGCTTATTCTTTGGGTAATTGTCTTATACAAATTGTTCGTCGAACAGTGTGAAGGTTACAGATTTTTATTCTCCGATGGAAAGAATGACGGACGAGACGATACAAACGAAGAGTCGTTATCGGATAGAGCCGTATTCAGAAGAAAGAAAGACCTCACAATACGTGAATTTATAGAAATGGAAGAGGAATACAGATCGTTAAATCGTGAAATGCTTTCTTCAAGTTAAAAAACTATTTATAATTGAAATTCTAGATGAAAAGATGTAATTCTATGCTTTTGTTGTTTTGGCCTAATTGTTTTTAATGCATTTTGTGGTAAATTCTGTTTTGAAGCATATAACAATAAAAACAGTTTTATCGAATTAGCTTCGGGGTTTTTTTTTCTGAAATATTGCCATTTCTGTCATTGCCAAGTACTTCTGTGAATTCTACATTTCTATCGTGCCATTATTTCATTCAAAACAATGCAATTATAATGTTATACGCACTATGGAAATGAGACACGTGGATCAAAAAGAAATTCTGTAGCAAGCGCATCAGCCACAACATTGAGATTTTACAAAGAATATGTATCTTATGTATAGTTTCTAGAGGCGTGATAGATATCAATAAATTCATAAATGCATCTATTCGTTGAGCACAAACTGCCAAAACTGATGTAACTTACAAGCAATACTACTTGTAACACATTTTTCACTTACTTTCAACCTTGACTATGCAAATTTACTCTATTTAGATAGTTAAAATTCAATACACAAGTATATCTACCACTGTCACTATAGCGGGTAATCGTAAAGTACCCTTGTTTAACAATGTCTGTGAAAAGATTAAGCGATCCAAATCTGGTATAGTGACATCTTTCCTATCAAGTAATCAGATATAAAGAATCATGTGTTTTGGAGTGGGGGACGTTAATCTTAAGACAAAGAGATAAATGCTTTCACAATAAAAATTCTTAACACTACACAGGCCTTTATATACAAGAAAAGTCTCGCATTTACTTAATTTTGTCGGATCTTTCGGATGTTGATTAAAAGTTAAAATATCAAAAAGAGCTATCATCCCGAAGAGGCATTTATTTCTGATTATTGTTAGACATATTCTAAGATATAATTTAACTCGTCCTCTAAGACTTACTTATCTTAGGATTTGTTATACCGAGGAAGGAAGGAATCATATTACAAAAGCTTATTGTAAACACTACGATGAACTTTATATTGTTAGCATACAGAATAGTGTTTACAATAAGTTTCTGTGATCTGATTCCTTCCTTCCTCGATGTAACGAGACCTAAAATAAGCAAGATTGAGCTAAATTACTGAAGGATAAGAAGTAAATACAGTCGATCCCCCTATAACACTGTTGATTTTTCCGTTTTATATGAATTCCATGTTGTACGAGTCACTTAGATTTTACAAATACGTGAGTCGTTCACATCCCGGCACACGTATTTGTAAAATCTAAGTGGCTCGTACAACAAGGAATTCATATAAAACGGAAAATCAACAGTGTTCTATGTCACTCTCTACTTTTTCCTGTATCTTATCTGAATTTGGAAATGTATTTAACTCCCGTTTCTTAATTTAAACATTTTTCATACAGGTCTAATTAAACTTAAACCTGATATTTAAATTAATTAAAATTCATTCTAATTAGTTTGGATTTTCATGTGTTTACATACCGGATATTAAATTAAATATCTAACATCATTAGCATACGAACTCCCATTTATAGATTGTGAAAATAAGAAAAACAGATTAAAACTTTTATAGTTATTTACATTTTTTTATTTTAAATAAATTTCTATAAGTAGATTCGGATAGAAAACGAATACTTGAAATTTCACGAAGATACCTTCCATACTATAAGAACTCTCTGGCATTCGATAGAAGGATATCCTTCAGTCTTAATAACTGTTTTATTTATTTTAACATGGTTCTTTCGAGTGAAGATCTTTCTATTTTGTTACAAGTCACATTTTTCTTCATATTTAATTCGTATTCCATAAAGAATAACGCGAGTATCGAGCGTATGGTACATCTGCACTTGGAGTGATTATATTGCCATTAATGCCATTTCTTTTGTTTTCAGGTTTGGATGATGATTCTACTTGGATCATTTAACCTTTCGACGATGATCATGATTAAATTCGTGGTCTTATCGGCGGCAGAAGAAGCTGCAATTGTACATTTACTGGTTACTAACATCTTCGTCGTTGTTTCTCTGATGATTTGTAAACTAATGAAAGTGGCAAAGTAAGAATTACTGGTTTTTCTAGATAGAAAATTCAATACAGATAATTTGTGATTTAATTGTTTTATATTTTAGAACCGTTATTATTAGTAACGAGCGATGGTACGATCCGGAAAACGTCACGTTGGTCTTTGTTCAAACGGCATTTTTTCATACTTTCGTAAATTGGATAGACAGACGGATGTGGACAGATTCATTAGACTATAGTTTTCGATCGGCACTTTATTTCTATCGAAGGAGAACACTTAAATGAATAATGTATAAGAACTCTTCAACTGTACTCCATTAACAAATCTATTTCTCTACCTCCATTAGATTTTTAAAAATGATTTGAGGTCAAGAAATTTTTTGTATTATTATTATTTTATTGTGCAAATATATCGAGATAATTAAAGACTATATATATATATATATATATATATGTTTTTTTTTTCTGTTTTTAATTCGTAATATCTATGTTTCTTGTATAGGAACGATTCGGTTTAGTATAGATATAAGAAGGAATATAAACAAAAATATTAAAATATTTACGACTATAACTTTTATCCACCCACTTCACACCCAAGCTAATTATACGCTGTACTGTACAACTCTCCCAATATACATTTACAGCCGCTTGCGCTGTAAATGCATTGTCACACTGCCGAAGGGCCTCCCTATACTTCGGCATGTATATTGGGATAGTTGTACAGTACAGTACTTTGCATATTGTCTAAAGCAAAGCAATTGCTTGCGCTTAGATTTGCTTTAGACAATATGTTTTGGATTATTGAACTTAGCATCTTTAATAATAATGGAAAATATGGTTTCGTTCTATGCAGAAAAAATAAAATTTCTTGGTTTACTACTGTTTAACCTCTCTGTCATTTTCTTTCTGTTGATTTTTCAGTTGTTATGAAAGAGATGCTTACTTATACATGGATTACTCGTTCATTATTTCTTTCTTACGATACACTTTAAATCATTGGGCATAAATTTTAATTCAATTTTAAAATTATACTTAAATTTTATAACACTTATAAACTGAATTTAATACTTCCTTTCTTATTTAATGGTGTGGCAAGTGATTTTGTATTGTAACCTATTGGTATTTGTTAATGTTGAACAGTAATACAAGTGCAAAATTCTTTACTGTTAAGATGTAATTAACTAAATCAAAATGGTTCCTCTTTTGTTTTTCATTGTATACAAAGAATATAAATTTAATGTTATGTATTCTTTTATTGTATATATACTATGAAATTTATATATACAATAAAACCCCTCTCGAGCTATGACACAAGAACTTCTATCTCCCCATTTATTACAGAGAATGGTTTTTGAGTCCTTTCAGAAAATGTCTGGTTTGTTAACTTCTTTTTATTGACACTGAGTAAAATTATTCCTTTGTCCTTAGTAAAAATTCTTGAATGTTACTACAAGACTTGCACAGTTTTGTATTTGGAGAACTTCGAAACGTCGAGAAATTCAAAAAGTTGGGTTTTTTGTTCTGTATGTATGAATGTTAGCATGTGTGTGGTATAGTTGTGTTCACTCATTTTGAAGTTTAATAACTCCACTGACTTTAGTCTAAAATTTGCAGGAAGGTTTGTGTATTAGGGAAACCATCCTATTAAATTTTTGTGCTTAAAGATCGAGAGCCTTTATAACCACTAAAATTAAACAGCCCTTACTATTTTAAACCATCCGAATGTTAGTAAATTACCAGATAAAAGTATAACATTGTTAACTAATGTAATGTTCTTTATATACAAGTCACTTTTTAGATAAGAAAACATACCGTTTTCATAAATGAATTTTATAAAAACTTCCAGCGAAAATTGTCGTGAATATTAATTAAATTAACAATGATTTTATTATAATTATTACAATTATTAAAATTTGCAAATTGATTTTTTTGTTGTTAATTTTAAAATATATGTATATGTACACAATAATATTCATTTATTTGCTTTTGTTATCACTTTAATACCCGCCTGCTGCGCGGCTATACGTAATTTTGTCAGTTTTAATTCGTGATTTTTTCGTTTTAATCCCAGTATTTCTTTCTGGATGTCTTTCAGTTCCTGTTAATAACAATTAAATTAATTTGAATTTGATATTTCTTAAAGTATCAATTCAAAGTAAATGATTATTTTTACCTGAAGAACTTGCAACATTTGTCCCTGTTGTTTGATCAATTGTTGTTGTTGTTTCATTAACAGCATAACTTCTGCATCTGTCACGGACTGATTTCTTTCTGCCTTATTTGTCTCGTCATTCTGGTTGTCTGTAATAAAATCATAAATTTTTCAAAGGTATTAAAAGTTTGTACTTATTGACCAATTATTTTCTGGCATCTTTTCGATCCAGAAAGAATTATAAGGGGCATAAAACTAGGAATTTTATAAAGAGATTTTCATAAAACTGCAGCGTACAAATCTTATTATGATGTAGTATTTGTTCCATTTTCATTTTTAACTACCAATATTCACACACTGTCTGAACTAGCGTAAACATTAAAACAATGGCAAATGGTTAAACATCAAATTAAAGAATTGTTGTAAGACTTTATAAAGTAACTTTCTTCTAAAATTAATTCTATGTATAATCTAATCTAATTTCATAAAATTCCATCAATAGAAAATATTAAGAGATAGATGTGTAGCTCTCAGGTGTAGTAAGCTCTTATCTCTTTTCCATCCAACAAAGGAAATGTCACCAAAACATTTGTCTACTTCCCAACAATAAAGCAAAGATCAAGAGCAAAGCTTCCAAAAAATATCTAGCAACTGCAAAACATATGACAACCCAAGAGAAAGAACTGAGCATACAACTCTGATCTTAACTCATTGGGGATTCTGTTCACCACTTTTTGTAGTCCAAGCATAAGTCAGGAATTCAAAAATCACTGGAATAAAGCATCTATATTTCTCTTAATTGGCATTTTCATTTGTAGATTTTCTAAAAAGTTTGCAACATTTTTGTAAACTATCATCCAAAAAATCACTTTCAATATAATAGTTAGCAAAAATAGTGCATAGAAATGTAGAGATATATTAACACACTCATAATTGAAGCGCTTTCAATTATGAGTCCATAATTTCAAGAAGAAATCAGATAAAAATTTCATCTCATATATTTTCATTCTTATAAGTTTTTAAACTAGCCACAAAATAAAAGTTAGTTTTAATCTTTTTTTCTATCTTTTTTTCAAAGTTGACTATATTCTTAATTAATTAATCATCGTTTCCAACTTTGAAAAAGTGGACTCAACATTTAAAGTTTTACGCATCAATTATTGAAATATAGGATCACAATTATTTGAAATTAATATAAAAGTTCTATTTTATATACCTTTTGAATGTATAGTTTTGCTAGCTCAATGGAGCAGAATGCATTAAAGCATTGTTGTAATTCAGTATCATATATACCTATATAAACACCTATAACAGAACTTTTGTCTATACAGTAAAAACTGCTTAAGCTACCACCTGCATTCGACGGGCAGTTGTCAAAACGGGTAAAAATTTCTGGCATGAAATAGTTTATACATATAGTCTTCGTATAAGTTACCTGTATTAAACAACCACCCGTGTAACATGACCGTGGGCACTGCTTTTGGTCGGAAACAATGTGCAACAACTGTAATAAGCCACCACTTCCGTGAATATATCTGGTCTAAACTATTGTTCAAACTCATCTCAATAATGTTTCCCCTCCTAGTATAATGAATTAATCTAAACTCTTGTTTGAACCCACCTCGGGCACTTCTCCCACTTTTGTAATTAGGTGTAAGTGTTAATGGATTTGTCCAGCTACAAAGAAAATTCATTTCAGTTTGTTCAAAAAGTCTGAAAAACGAAAGTATTAGGGTACATAATACAATTAATCGGCTAATCTCATCATTTGATAAAATTTATGTTATTTTTTTTGAAGCTCATATACAGTACATGGGCGATAAATAGTTCCTGTATTGACCTACCTTATTTCCACAATATTTTTAGAAAAATAATATCCAAGTAATTTTTGCACACAAAATATTCAAAATATGATAAACACATTAACGCAAAAATCAGTTTTACAGGCAACCTTCCCTTTTCGATTCTGCAATTGTCATTGATGTAATGAAATCATATTATGAGAAAATATAATAAAATCGTTTTATTATTAATTAATGATTTTTCTCATTATACTTAAGAAAATATTAAATACTTTTGAAAAAATACAGTATTTTTGAAGTTAAAATAAGATTAAACTATCAAAGAAGCGCTATACTATAAAGGCACGTCATTTCTCTCCACCAAAATTGAAGTGGTGGAGAGATATGACGCGCTTCTATATTGACAACATAATACATATAACCGAGGAGAGAACGATTAGAACCAAGTTAAATTAATTAAGCCAGAAAAAAGAAAGTGTGCATTATAATAGAGAAAATGCAAATACTGTATTAATCTTTAAAATATTAGTATTAAATCTGTCTTATAAAATCATGACAACTGTTAATCGAGTTATCTGATAAGAATAAAATACAATACCAATATAGCCCTATCGTTGAAAAAATTTGCTTATTTTGCTCACCTCGAGTAGAAATGGCTGGAAAGTGCACAAAATATGTACGGAAATATGGTATTACAGCACCACCTGTATTGGATGACCACCAGTCTAAAAGACCACTTTTTTAAATGAACCATGTATGGTCACCACAGACAGGTTTTACCATATATATTATTATATATTATTAATTATATATATATAATTAATAACAGTAAAATGAGTAACTTTCATTAAGCTTCTTACCTTTTTCTGATAAAATTTCAACCTGAGTAATGTCGGAAGAATTCTCAGCATTAATAGGATTCTCGGTTTCCTAAATTAAATATTGTTTTATTAGAGGAATTTTACAATAAAACTATTTTCTTGAAAATAACTAATAAAGAAGATAATTTGTTATTTCACAGGCTAATTAAAAAATTATCAGAATTAAACTATATTCAGGTAGAAGTTTAATCCTGGTAATTGTCACAGGATAATTAATATTCATTATAATAAAAATTGCTAACAAATTTATATTTACAAAATATAGTTTATTTGACAATAATTATACATCTATCCCATCCTGTCACCCTACATTCCCCTAAATAGGCACAGTTGGTATTGAACAGGTGCAATGTTTTGTTTTGTCCAGGGCTGTGGAGTCGGAGTCGTGGAGTTTTGATGTTTTAGCCGGAGTCGGATGGTAAGGAAAAGTCGGAGTCGGTAGATTTTTACGCGACTTCCACAGCCCTGGCAGGGCTGTTGAGTCGGAGCCGGAGTCGGAGTCGTTGAGTTTTGGTGTTTTAGTAGGAGTCGGATTCGGATGATAAGGAAAAGTTGGAGTCGGTAGATTTTTACGCGACTCCACAGCCCTGGTTTTGTCAACTATACTATCACTCTGCTTTTCTACTTTCTACATTTTTATTAGCAGTAATATAATATTGGCTTTCCCTTCTAATCATATAATGTTGATGTCCCTGATTATACATAAGTACTACATAAAGTTCAGGTTTTACAAAGTTTTAACAAATGGAACACTAAACAACTTTCACACAGGCTTTGCTCTTGCCAAAACAAAAACCAGTGGCAGCCTTATCTACAACAGCACAATTTCCTTTATTTCTATAATGCATAAATCCCCAAACACTTTGTCAACTCATATAAACAAATCATTAAAAGAATTAATTGACCACCACAAATATAAACAAGTTATTGTTAATAAAATGAAAAATGATAAAAGTTTAATTTGCTATTGTTGATCAAGCTCAGAATTACAAATTACTTAATTTCAATTTATTAAATACCTGTTCAGCCTGCGAATCAACGGACAAATCTTCATCCATCTTGGCAATCTTTTTACTTAGAGTCATTATTGGATATGAATGATCTGAAATGTGTACTCTCATTAATCAAAGTAATGGATGAATTAGTTTTATATTATATAACAACATAAACATATTAACATTTATTAACATAAATAAAAACTCAGAACCTGAAAAATTTATTTCGACAGCTGCATCATTTCAGAGAATATAAAATAGCTTACAATATTTTAATGACATAAAGTGGGTGATTGGTTAACGAACATAATCTGTTCCAAGACTTTGTTTGCTATCCGAATTGTTCGTTAACCGATTATCAATTTACCATAGGTTTTTATGAAAATTTGATTAATTCGTTCTGGAGACCCCAAAAAATAAAAAATATATACTTTCTTACTATGTTTATTTATATGTAATAATAAAAATACATATATACACGGTCTTGCATATTTATTAGTCATGTTTTTTTCCATTTGTGGGGGTTAAAGAATCAGTCTAATGTCAATTGCTCTTCTCTCTTCTTCAGGATTTTTCAGAAGTAATTAATAGCATTGTCATTGTAGAGATCCCCTAGCCTATTAACCTCAATCTGGTTTGAATGCCATTCTAAAACCATTGTTCTGACATCCTTCCACTTCTTCAAAAGATCTTTAATAGCAGATATTAACATTAATCCTCTTTTTCAGAAGAAAATATATCTCGCCGAGTTTCTTGGTGTTTTTCATTCAACTGTTTTTTGCATTTTCTGTCATCAGATCTGTTTCAGGTTCCATTATGAGTTCTTCAATGTTCTTTATTTCTCAGATGTAATTTTTGTTACTCCTTTAGCTGCTTGAGTCTTCTTGATTACACAGTATCTTTCTTAGATAAGAGTGAACTGCAGCCTACTGTAGAACAACAACTGACCATACTGCCCAGCAACAACAGACATCTGCCTACTCTTTACCTTTGCTATTATACTCTCACCTTTCGAAAATAAAAACCAATGCAAAACTTAACGAGTGCCCGCCCGACAGTCTTGTGAATACTATAAAAAAATTGTTTCTGTCAGAAAAATAAAAAGCTGGAATTACAAGGGAGAGTTTCAAAGTTTGAAGAAATACTATATGATCAGTATATACTGGGTTGAGCATCGATGTCGATGTCTCCCTAACTCCAAAAAAGTTTTGAATTGTTGTCTGAAGACAGGGGAAGACCAATCAGTATTCATTATTTTACATTGCTTCTTATTGTGTTCGTTGTCCAATCATAAAAATCTTTAGCGAAAGTGTTCATTATCCAATCACACACTGTATTTTTAACACTTTTACACATTTAGAATTTCTCTCCACTACATCTCAGCACACTGTTAGGATAGTGCACCTCCTCTTATGACCAAAAATATTAAACACAACTACAGAGCCAGGAGTGACTCTTGGCAAAATATTCTACTCTGCAGTTTTCATTATGCATTCAGACATTCAAAACTATCCACCAGTGACAAAGTGAACACCAGCAATTGGTTGTGGGTTTGTACGTCACCAATGAGCTGGCCATATACAGTTTCCTCAAAGGTAGTCGCATCTTCCTTGGTAGATCACATGTCACATTGCTGTATACAAACAAACATATTCAAAAATTCATCTTAATAATCAATGTAAAGGCTCTTTCAGCTGCATGTAATACAGAACTTTCTAACCTGTGTATTTCATATATATATTTAGCAAATACCTAAAAAGAACAAAAAGTTTGATTATGTTTGATGTTGTGACATCATGCAGTGCATGCGTGGATATAGACCCATGTCAAAAATGTGACAGCAAATGTATATCATTATTTAATCATTTATATGAGGCAACCCATATGTTGGGCAGATCAAGCATGGGAGTGTTACATGGTTCCAAGGTTGTTGTGAGGAGAGATTCCCATATAAACATAAGTTTCCAGTTGCTACAGCATCTGAGTAGAATTGTTTGAGCCCATAATGGGTTGTAGCTCTGTTCGAGCATCTTTTTTTTGCAAGTTCTGTGCAAACTCCTTTCACCACATCATCCTGGTGCTCAGCTAGGTGGCTAATGAGCATTTGTGTTGTGGCCCAATGTATCTCATGTTCATCCCTGGGATTTTCCAACAATGCAACAGAGACCCGATTTTTCATAGGTGAAGAATTTATCCCAATTGTTGCAGATGAGTCTGTGCAAATTCAGTAGGAGAGATAGGGACAGGAGAAAGTTATGCTGCCTGAATATGTGGCAAATGCATATGGAAAGGGGTCCAAGGTACAGTAATGGCAGTTGAACTACTGACACCTCCCACTTGTTAGATAGTGTTGTGCTTAGAAATAGAGATTCTCTGACCATGTTACACACATGCATGAACTTAGCTTGTAAAAAACCAGCTGTGCATTCTGCCAAACTAATGGTGTTTAACTCGATGTCTACAAGCACTTGCGTTGACGATAATAAGAACGCTCTTCTAATGAGGGCAGTAAAAGTGGCATCAATATATAACAAAGGTTGGAAAGCATCTGCTGAGATGATATGATGCACCTTATTAAATTTATCATAAACCAAGAATAGTAGCCCTTCAGAGGATCTATGTTTACACTAATCCAAGAATGTTATTGCCACATAAATCTCTTTCTCCCAAGTGAAGTTAATACAGGGGCATACAGTGGACATTTGTTTTTGAAGGTAAGAAATGTCTCGTCTGTGTCCTCCCACAGTATGAGGATATCAACCTAATGCAAGTACAACAGCAGGTAATGAATGGCATGCAGGGAATTGAATGTTCTGTGTTCAATTTCTCTCATGATCAGTTCTGCTAGAACAGCAGATAAAAGGGAAGCCACGGGGGCTCCATGTTTCTGTAAATAAGTTTTCTGACTGAAATGAAAATAATTGTGCTCTGTGATGAAGATCAATGCATCATGTATATCTAGTATCCATTGGGCATTAAAGCCCTTCTTGAGAAGTAGAGAGTTGACAAGCATTACAACTTCAAATTGGGCACCAAAAGTTACAAGGATACTACGCTTAGTTTGTAGAAGCTGTATGTGCTTCTTTGTACTGCACTAATGCCCAAAGTGATGGTGGATCTAGCAACCAAGGATGAGGGTGTAACATAGGACAAGTCTGGGATCAGTGCAAAGCAACTTAGCTAGCATCTTTTCTAAAAAGTAGGTAGGGTGAGATCTCTTGTTTACAAGCAGTCACAATGGCCACTCAACATATGGGTTGCCATAGATAAATGGTTAAATAGTGATATATATTTGCTATCACACCTTTAATATGGATCTACATCCATGCATGCCGTGCATGACACCATAACATCAAGCATAATCAAAGTTTGTAGCATGCTCATAACAGTTTTTAATTTTAATTTAAATATGTGTTGCAATCATGTTAGAACATCTTATTCTATTTTTAAATTCTTGTTTGCCTGATGACGAGAAATATAAGTTTGTTGAAAGTGCTAGCGATAATAAAAAAACTGTTAACACCATACTCAGTGAGTTTTCCTTCCTTTTATGTGATATTTTGTGTGAGGATCAAGCTTTATTATGTTAGTAAATACTTATTAACTTTATAACTTAACAAAGAAAAACTTGACTAGAATAGCATTGTATATCTTCAGTAAATCAATTATTCCTGAAATTAACTAATTAATTGAAAATTATTCTGTTGTCAATTTATTATAAACTTAACTTCTGTAAAAAAATGATTTGTATTGCTTGTTGATTTACATCAACAAAGAAAAAACTCAATTGGAATTGCTAAGTCAACAATCTATGATTTAATAAAAAAGAATACAAAACACACGGAATTGTTTCCGATTTGCTAGGAAGAGGACAGAAAAGAAAAACATCAAAAGCCATTAAATGCATCATTGTTCGAATTGTTATGTTTCTGTCAGTCAAATTGCCCAAGAGATGAGAGATAACTTAAACATTGATGTAACTTCCCATGTATTCAGAAATTGGATTAGAGAAATTGGTTTTCATAGACAGACTGAAAAATCTAAAGTAGAGAAGATAGTTATCAGTTTGCTCAACAGCATTATAGAAAACTTGGATCATTTTGGAAAAATATCATTTGGAGTGATGAATCAAAATTAAACCTAAATAACTGATAGATCAGGAAAAGTTTGCAAAAGTGAGATGAAGAGTTCAATCAAGTTTGCGTGAGTGAAACTGTGAAGCATGGGAATGGAAACACAATGATGTGAGATTGTATGTATTGGAATAAAGTGAATTGGATTTTATAGATAACATAATTCAAATATCTCATCCTTTGCACTATCTAAAGCATCTTTAATCAAATTTTCCTTACTTTTCAACTTTTGAGTAATCTCCTACTTTCAGTCACTTGATCATATTCTAATCTTATCCTTTGAGTTTCATACTGTTGTTTATTCCTGTGATACAAATGACCTTTCTTCAATACATCCAATGCTACTCAATCCAAGTGATCATCTACATCAGTGTCCAAGCATTCAATTAACAGGCTAAATTGTACAGATCACAATTATTAAAATAATAATCAACACACCTTAGTAATTCCAGCAACAAAGTATTTAATAAAATAATAACGTTTTCGACTATACTTAATAGTCTTCTTCAGTTAACCTCTTCAAAATGAAAACGAACGTAAAATAGAACGTAAGCAATACAACGGTTTAAAAATTAAAATTAATTACGTAAAACGTAAATAAAATGTTAAAAAACGTAAAAAATTATAAATAAAATATTAATTTGAGAAGAAACGTACATAAAAATAACATAAAATATTCTTT